TTTTGCGTGACCTGCAGATTTCCCCTCCCGGCCAGAGTCCCCCTCACGTTCACCTCTAAGGAGCTTCCGTTCCTTCACCCGTTCTCACGCAGATCGGCCAGGAACCAGTGCTTCTGGTCAAACGCACACTTCTCGATCTCGTGCTCCTTCCACTGTTAGCACATCGCTTCAATCCGACCATCCTGGCTTGGGCTGGCAGTCGACCGCCGGCACAAACTCTTCGCGAGCATCGTTCAACTCTAGATCAGGTAGACCAATGGCGGGGCTGATGGACGTTGACCGTAGCCGTACCCGGAGGGATAGAACGTTTGTCGGTAGTGAATGCGCCGTATGCGAGGAGCCGCTAGAGCATACCCTGCGCGGAGAGCGGGTCCTCCAATTCTCCTGCACACACGTGGCCCACGAAGCCTGTTTCTACGAGTATATCAAGGAGTTTGAGGGCCAATATTGTCCGACCTGTGATGCCCCATTAGGGCTGGACACCAGCCGCGGGGGTCACGTACTTGACATCGGTAAGCGAAAGATGCACTTCGGACAGCATAGTGGTTGCAATTGCTGGGATACTGACCATCCTCGTTGCAGAAAAATTGAGCAACATTGTACGTTCGGTGACTAGCGATGCAGCCACGCACCGCAGTGGTTTGACCACCCCAACCCCGTGGGATCAGCCGTCAGCTCGTGGGCAAGCACCCAGCGAGACGGGAAGCCGGTCATACAACAATCGCGACAGTCGGGACATCTGGGCGAGAAGGGATAGCCGTGATACGGGCAATACGGGCAGCCATCGTGAGCGCGAGCGAGTGGAGCGGATGACCACAGGCTCACGGCAACAGCATTCCAGAAATGGAAGTGCTGCAGGATCGTCGGGCGACTATGATGCTCAGCAGCAGGGCAACGGCAGGCGACATGATTATGACGTTCAAGCCATGGAATCCGATCTTAGCCCTCGCGCGGCTCCCATGAAGAACCCCATCCCCGCCCCCACGGTGACCATCCGTAGCGAATTCCCCACGCTCAACCGGTCCAGACAACAACAATCTTTGACGTGCTTGGTCACGGTGGAAGTTCCTGAGGGAGTATGGCATCCGGATTCGGAGGACTTGCGGCAAACTTCGTCGGGTGCGTCGCAGCCGCAGGATGAGCCTTACGGCGGCGTGGTTCGCTTTCCGACTGCGGATGCTCGATCCATCCAATACGAACCCCAGGAGAACCTTGACGAAATCGCCGAGGACTTGCGAACGCGGGTCGACAACTGGCACGGCCTTGAATTTTCGCGGTACGTTCTCTCCCAGACGAAGTTCTTCATTGGTGAATACTGATTGATATCAGGTTCGGAAAACTCCGCTTGCATGGACACATGCGAGTGGGCAAGGATCGCGAATCATGGCAGGACCTGGAGTGCTATCTTTTCGCGGAGATGCTTATTTGTATCAAGGAAAAGAAGACAAATGCTCATCAGTATGATGACCAGTCCAAGCGCAAGACTCGGAGCTCGCTGAAAGGCTCGATTCTTATCAAGAAGCATCTCAAGTCTATTGAAGCGTCGCCTGGTAAGCTGCGATCGATTTTGAGAAAGGGTATCGGATGCTGACCACCATAGATGAACCTGTCCTCACGCTTAATCTGTCAGTCAGCGAGCTTCCTTGCTTCTACCTTCGCTTCCAGAGTCGAAACGAATTAGAAATCTGGCGTCGAGCTCTTCGCGATCTTCATAACTCTGATGCATTGTCCCGTCACACCGATTATGACCTGGATCATTCTGGAGCTGAGGAGGAGGACTACCGGGCCAACCAGGTCAAACGACAGGCGTCAATTAACTCATCCTACGGTGCCGGACGGTCTAACAATACAGCAATCACGGATTATACCACCGGTGCAGATAATCTGCCCACGTCGAGTGCCCACATACCTCTCGATATTGTGGTTGTTATTCCCGTTTCTTCGTCCATGCAGGGGCTGAAGATCACCCTCTTGCGGGACGCACTCAAGTTCCTGGTGCAAAATCTCGGACCCCGAGATCGTATGGGCTTGGTAACTTTCGGTTCCAGCGGTGGCGGCGTGCCCCTTGTTGGAATGACCACCAAGTCGTGGGGCGGATGGAACAAGATCCTCAGCTCCATTCGACCTGTCGGACAGAAGAGCCTTCGTGCGGATGTTGTCGAAGGCGCCAATGTTGCAATGGACTTGCTGATGCAGCGCAAGTCCAACAATCCCATTTCCACAATCCTCCTGATCAGCGACTCGTCCACTTCCGACCCCGAAAGTGTCGATTTCGTGGTGTCTAGGGCCGAAGCTGCCAAGTGAGTCCCTCCATTACCAGAGATCAAGAGCATAGATGACTGACAATTTGCAGAGTGAGTATCCACTCGTTCGGCCTTGGACTGACTCACAAGCCCGACACAATGATCGAGTTGTCCACTCGGACAAAAGGCTCGTACTTGTACGTCAAAGATTGGATGATGCTTCGAGAATGTGTTGCCGGCTGCTTGGGCGCACTGCAAACCACTTCGCACCAGAACGTCAAACTGAAGCTTCGTCTCCCTGAGGGTTCGCCTGCGAAATTTGTTAAGATTAGCGGCGCTCTCCATACAACCAAGCGCGCTACAGGCAGAGATGCCGAGGCCGCTCTCGGAGACCTGCGATTTGGGGACAAGCGTGACGTGCTGGTACAGTTGGTCATCCAACCGGACAACTCCACGCAGGAAAGCATGCCGCAGGACCCCTGGGAAAGCCTGGTGTCTGGATTGGAGGCTCTCGGAGGTGGCTCCGATGCAGACGAGCAGCGCGTGCTGAGCGTTGAGGAAGTTCCTTTGATCCAGGCGGATCTCACTTACGGTGATCTCCTCCGTGATGGCCACCTGACGCACTCGCCTCGCCCGTCACTTCTTACCGTGCCCATGCTTCCCTCCAATCCGAGAGCCAAGAATGGCAGACCTTCGACACCACCCATTCCTCCTCACCCGTCCATTGTCCAGCGGCGCATGGAGTTGCTCACCTCCGACATGCTGACCCGAGCCTTGACACTTGTGACTCGGGGTCAACATGATCGCGCACAGCATCTCTTGACCGAAACACGAAGCATTCTTAAGGGTCTCGGTAAAGGTAGCCTTCCACCGCTACCGCCAGGGGCTGTAAAGCCGGCCAGTCTCAGCGATGCCGGAAGTCGCGGCGAAACTCCCACATCGACCTCGCCGAGATCCTCCAACTTCACCGAAGGTCAGTCTGTTACATCAGATACTGCAACTATTGCCCCTGTTGCTGCAGTCGACGCACAGACCATCACAGCGTTGGATGCGGACTTGACGTCGGCAATGGAGTGGATCAATCACCCCGCCGTGTTTGGGCGAGACTCGCGCAAGGCCGTTCTGCAGGCCATTGGGGTCATCTCGTCGCAGCGCGCTTACACATATCGTACGCCATCCGAGGCTCACTGGGCCCAGCGAGTCGCGGGAATCCGACGATTGACTGAGCGATCAAAGGAGTGGCGCGAGACTGGAGACGACGCCTTGACAGAGGAATAGTCAGTTATTTGGATTATTCTCTCTTCTTCTTGGTTTACCTTTCCCCTTATTTTACTGTTTGATTATCCACTTACCCCCTTTTCAACCCCTTTTTACCTAATATTCGTTCTTCCCTCTGGTTACCCGGCTGAGTTGGCAGGCTTCTTTTTTTTGTTATGATACCACTTTGTTTCGACTATGACTGCGCAGCATGATACCACGGATTTCCCCTGTTTATATCACCTTGACTCCTGGCTGATTTTGTTTCTATGATGAGTATACTCGTGGATATATAGCCTAATCATTCACCATTTTTCCTAATGTTTATTGGTTGGTCGGCGGCAAGGGTTGAACATATGGGTGGCTCCATCGGTGTTTGGTCGATTATGATATGCTGCATGAACGTGTTCCACATTCAGGATATCTGAGTCTCCAAAAGAGCTGTTGATGTTTTGCCAATTGTACTCGATGGCCTAGTTTGATATGCCAAAGCTTGGTCTGCTTTGAGACGAATATGACACATTTACACCACTTTAATATCTTTTGAAAGCCCAGCGGAGAGGCGAACTAAGGCAACCATGGGTACTGAACATTGATTCGGAAGGACATGTGGAAGTCAGAGCGTAAGACACTGCCCGGTCTTAGTCCCGAGTACCAAACGGGCCCGTTAACCCTGTTGGGTTAATGCCTAAAAGGAGCAGTCTTTCGTCGAACCTTGGGTTGGCAGCCCTAGCAGGTACATTTCTACGGCCATACATCTCTATGGCGAGTCAGGACATGGACACATGGACTAATGACCTTGAATCCCGAATTGTTGGTCCGTTCTGATCAAGCATTGGCCAGATAAAGTGCGGCTGAGAGCAGCCACGTGGAAAGGGGGCTCAGATCGCTTCGAGTGTTGGCATCCCAGCGCTTAAGGTAGACTAAGTGTCCCGTCCCAACCTGGATGTGTTGAGCATGGCATAGCCACTGGATGCTTTTTTATTTCGGAGCAGCGTCCTGCCTATTGCGTACTGCATTACTGAGTTGGTTTCTGTTGCAAGGCGTGCGAAGGATTGCGCTTTGGCCTTCGTCTAGGGAGTTCTTTGCTACCTGAGCATTCGTAGTCATGTAATTTCCATTTCGTCCAATGCTCTTCGCTGAGAACAGAGATGATACAATGTATTCTTCCCATGCAATTACCGAAATTCCCCCATGTAAATAAGCCAAGGTAAGCCAAACCAGCCGAAACTCCTTGAAATGCAAGATATTCGAAACCAACAGTGCTGGGGAGTGACCCGGCTGCGCAGAGCCAAGCATGCAAGTCCTCTAAGCTGGAAACAAGACACCGAACGCACGACGCACACCGTAAATCGAACCCCTCCCGGTTTGTATACATGAAGGAGAAAAAAAAAGTTCCATCGTCATGACATGAACGCTCTAGTTGAGTATTGCCGATGCACCGCTACGCTGAACGATCACCAAGACCATATGTGGATGATTGTAGATGAAAGTAGTTAATCATCGACGATCAGGGTTCTGTCTGCGTTTACCTGGTGGTGGGGGATCCAGTTGAGGCGCGTGTGCGTGTTTGTACGTGATTGTCGTTGTGACGATCTGTCGTACACAGACTTGTGGTACACCCTCGCTCATGGGGGACTCGAAGTGCCTGAGTTTCCATTCTTGAGGAGAGAAGGGGGAGCGGAGGAGATGTGCGGACCGAGGAGAGTCTGTAGTTGCTGTTGATGTTGTTGGGGAGTAGAGATATGGAGGGGGGAGTCGTAGCCGTTTGGCCGCTGGGGCTGTCACTGGAGCCTCCTTTGGGGACCACGAGGCTGCAGGAGACAGTGGAAAATGTGGCTTCGAGGGAGAGTGCTTCGGTGTGCTCCCTTTGGAGAAAGAAGACGAGGTAGTGCTGGATGGCACCGAGGTGGGAGATCGGCGAGGCTTGTCGAGCATGTACTTCGCAAAACTCGCGCGAGACGTAGTAGAGCTCGCGAATATGGGACTGAAGGTCTCAAGAAACTCTGTGTATGCCGGTGGTGGAGTGATGGTGACAGTGTTTTCTTGATTCTCAGCATCCCTTTCCTTTGGTTTGGTATCGAGGTATATGGTAGATTGCTCACGGAGCTCAGAAGGAAAGGACATGTTCCTTGGAAGCTCCAGGGGCTGTAACACCGGCTTTGGAGCCATCTTGAAAACAACAGAGGGATTTATAAAACTCGGTAGAAAGACGTTATGATGTTGACACCCCCTCCTTGACAGTGGATAGAAGGTAAGTAGGAGGTATAAGGAGTTGATGAAGATCGAGAAGGAGAATGTACTTCAGATGACCGATGCAAATTATTGTCGGAAGGAGACAGATAGGAGAGACAAAGGAGAAATGTCGACGAAGAATGACCGGGATGATAAGGCGTGTTGTATATAGGTTGTTGGTGGATATAGTTCGTAACAAATTGTATGTAATGCTGTACCTGACAGTATTGATGCTTGATGTATTGATCTAGTCCAGAAAAGGTTAGCAATGTTACCTGGGTCCAGGTGGTCCAAAATAGCAACACCGGGCCGATCCACACTCACGCTCTCAATCTTCTCAGTTCGCACTGCTAAGAAAGACAAGACGTATCCCAGTCTATCCAATCCTTTTTTTCAACCGCTCAAGCTGTTGCACAGCCACCTCTGGCAGCTCTGATATGATTTCGCTCAAAGACTGGTGTCGTTAACAGACAGAGTCCTGACTTGTCTGATCGGAAGTATTTTGAGAGCCAACCAGTCCAGCTGTTGGCCCCAGTTGATTTGAATGAATGTAATAAGGAAAATGCAATGTATTATTTGAATAAAGAGCAAGAGCAGAGCAAATACTCTTGCAAGTAAGAGAGCTTGATATCGAGAATGGAGCGTCATCAATCAGCAGGGTCTTCTGCAACTATATACTATCTTGCGCAGCCTTGACCCCCGCTGTCTGTGTTAAACACTCCCACCAAAGCACATGTATTCCTCACACAGTCGCGCGGCATCGAAACTGCGTCTCCGCTCGTTTGTTCAATCTGGCCCCTTATTCTCCCTTGATCTAATGAAAAACCTATGTTATCCTGATTTTGTCTGATTTGTGACATGGTTCGTTCAAGCGAGGCGCGCGGTTCCTGCAATTAGTGGCTAAGCTCTCGTTGTCATAACAAGAGCCAAAAAACACGGGGTACAAACTTCTATCTTCATTACCCTAAGCACCTAAAGCTACATTAGCTTAAGAGGAACGTGTGCGCGTTATGGTCGGCATAAGGAGACGCCAATCTCAACCAATATCGCCCAATCATGGTGCATAGAATAAATTTGTCCGACGAAGCAGTTTCAGGCTTCCATCGTCATACCCCTTAATGAAGGTATTCACAGTCCTCATTGCCAAATGCTTAAGCCTGAATGGGTACGTTCCATGGAGTAGCGCTGAAGGTTGTCATGGACCCTGGACGGCCCCGTTATCGAGTAAGATACGATCATTGTCTACCGCATTGCTCAAGAAGCGGTTACATCTATGCAACGATGCCTATTCGGAGATTCGATGCCATTCTCGGATAGGTCCCTTCCCTACGCGTCATTCTTATCTTGTCATTGGGGGCCATAGTCGTCGATGTGAACGTCGAACCCTCGGGGATCTCGTTCCTTCGGCTCCTGCGGTCGATTTGAGCGAAGGCCATTGTCCGGACTGGAGGGTTTAAAGGATAGCGTCCTGCATGGCATGCAGCGCTTGATGATTCTAATTTTGGCTTCAACTACATTAGAGCTGCTAAGCGCCCGTTTCAGCATCATTTACATGCTGTCGATTTCTATGATGAGGATGCGGGCTTCTTGTAAAGTTTCGAAGTGCCAAACAGCACTTCATGGTCGGTCCCGACCATGAAGCTCTCCCCCTCAGCTCCAGCTTCATTCCTGTGGTGTTCATCTATCTCCAGTTAGCCCTTTACCATGCGCAAATGCTGCCCATGACCATTGAGTACCTAAATTAATGAGAACCTCTGTGTAAACGGCAATTTGAGGGCAGGTGGTATACCCAGTCCAGGATAGTTTCCTAACAATGGAATCTATTAAAAGTAATTCTTGGCAACCCAATTAGCATTGAGTACCGGTAGATCTTAAACGCTCTGACATCCACCAACCAATCAGCAATCGACTCCAGTTCTAACCACCCAATCCGAAACATGCCAGGTGCTTCGCTCCATGGCTTCTGAGTGGTGGACAGTCAGATGGTCGGCGCATGTGGTGTCTGTTCTGTAACGCGCCAATTCCCGCCGTACAGGATCGCCGTGTGGACAAGGATTGGATTTTCCATTATTGGCAACTCATCGACTCGTCATGCTTAAATGCACTGATGCAGGGCTATTTTTGGAATATTCAGCTTGACTCGACCTCACCTCGTTGGCTAGTGTACTGCATTCCTGCTACTATCTATGGTATGGCGTAAGCGAACTTCAAAATAGATGCGCTTGATCCAGTCTCCTCAAGGAAAGGGCCAAGAGGCCGATATCTCTGGTTCGAAATGTGAAGGTGGCTCGCCACCTGCTTGCTCAATACGAGCTAAGGTCTACAACTACTACAATGGTCATGATTGTCACTGAGTCCAATATACTATGTATTAGCTCAGAGCTAATTCCATCATCAGTATCATAGCGCGCAAAACCTGAGTGAAGTGAGTAGATTGCTAAAAATACTACACAAGGAATCACTAGCAACCAAGCCAGGCAAGAGCAGAACCGACGGCCTTTTCTATTCTTATCATCATCATATGCATGCAGACAGCGGGGGAAAAACTCAATCACTCAATATGGACCCATTAGCGCTTCCGAATGGTCATAGACAAGATTTGTCACCTGGTGATCATCCTCGTTCTCTACTTGGGCGGCCTATCTCAGACGATAATGGCGTCCATGTTGCCATGGGTCCTCAATCTCAATCTGTCCCGAGTGACGGCTTGCATGTAAATAGGTAAATTTAGAACTTCTAAACGACTAGCCAGCGCTTCGTCTGTAGGATTCTGAGCGAACTACCTGATCCCAGCCTTGGGACTCTGTAGCTGTAACCCTCTATAGGATTCTCTGTAGCACAATCGACATCAATGCGTATTGTATGATACAGTCACATACGGCGTTCAATACTCCTCCAAGGTACGTAGTCATGCTTCCTTTCTTTCCTAGTCCTTGCCACTGCTAAACTGCTAGATAACATCATCTCTGCCGTTTGATCTCTGCTTAGGCGCCTGTTTAACTCCACGAGGTGGACTGCAGATGCAAATCCATCACACTGCACTCCTCGATTGGATGGTGGTTGTTGCTATACTTGGATACCTGCCCCATCCTCAAAGATTCAGGATAGATGGGGAGTATGTTGGCGTTGCGAGTTGCTACGCCTTGAATCGTCGTTCAATCTGTACTGTGTGCCTGTTTCGTAGGTGAGGAGCTTCTATTTCTGGATGAGCCTGCGTGTTCACGCCAATCTCCATGCGGAAATAGAGCATGCCGCGAGACGGCTGTATCCAGAGCCTTGACGCGAATCCAACTCTAGTGGTTCAACAAGCGTTTCAATCCTACTGTTTGCCATTGCTATGGTCAGACGCAGAACACAGATAAATAGTCCGCTGTGACCCGGGAGACAGAACAGAAGTCAGATGGCATTCGACAAACACTATCCAGACTGTCACAGGAATTCGCCCTTGGAACGGCTGTATAAGCCGAAGACGGGGGTGAGAAAAAGACAAGAAGAAGGCAAAGGAAAGAAAAATGGGAGAAGAGAAGAAAATGGGACAAAGAATAGAAGTGCGGGAGAGTAGAAGAAGACTCGATCCCAAAAGGATCCAGGTATGCAATGATCAAGTGAAATTAAGGAGAGAAAGAAGGGTATGTTAAAAAAGGGATGAATAAATCAAAAGTGAACCAACGGGAAATCACCGAACTCCGAGTGCCAAACGCCGCCGCCTTGAATGTGCAGATATCCAACGTGCTTTGATGAAGTCCAGCTCTGAGGAGCTCGGTTTGTGAATGGTGCGAGCCGTTCCATCCGGGAAGTATAGATGGATCAATTTTCCTTTATGGACCACTGCCTATATCAGCAAATAGTCCCATTTCTTGTGTTGCATCAACTTTCGCCAATGGAGTCGTATCTGTTGGGGCGCAGACTCCGTACTCTCGTGTGTAGTCGAGTAAACCCCGTCTTGAGTGCGAGCTGCATTACTCGAAGATGTGGCAATTGGATCATCGGACTGCTTCCAGAGTTCTTGTAGCACACGGTACATTCGTCCAAGACTACCAAAGTCGCTCAAACGCCCCATAGCCGCGACTCTATCAGTCAGTATTTTTCGATAACCACTGTAGGGGGCCGAAGCTGCCCCTGCAATAAACAGCGGCCAAACCAGGCAGCGATCGAATCCCGCAGGCCCTGCCGGGAGGCATTGCAGTATCTCTCCCACGGAAGCGACCAAAGTGATACTGGATGGAGCATAACAACCAAACTCGGGCATCAGGCTATATAGGTATAGTCGAGCAGCTATACGAAATAGGGCGGTAATTATCTTTGTCAGCTGCTCAGGATTGACTAACCCGGACATTAGATAAGGCGTCTCCAGGGTGCGGTCAGCGGATTCAGTCCACTCGATCTGAGCATCCAGCGCGGATACATGTTGAGATAGAGCTAAATCGTCGACTCTCCCTTCTAGCCTCAGAGATTCCAGACACGCAATCTCAGAAATCAGGTACATGACCCGGTCGTCACACCCCATCAACTGCTGCAGACCGGAAGAAGTACCACTGAGGTGTTTGGTGCGGTAGGTATGAGCAAAGTGCGGTGTCTGTCCCAGCATTGTGGCACCGAGGATATCGATCCAAGTGATGAGAGAGACATTGAACTGAGTGGGAGCGCAATTGGGCTTGTTAACAAGGCTGGACACTGCTTTGAAATGGGCGCTCCACGGGATATCCGGGAGATAATCATGTGTTTCGCCAACCGAAGAATGATAGAAGATCATCGCAAGCGTTGCGTCCAAGACTTGCTCGTGACTGGGCCCACCGTTCAGTGTCCGGCAAAGCTGTGAGATTGCCTCGTAGCGATGCCGCATAATGTCATAGTCCATTTGATCGGTCAAACCCCTGCTGGTCTTGAGGTGAATTGCAGATGCGCTTAGGCAGCAATGAAGATATGATTTATTCGTCTGCAGTGAATGCATGATTTCCTGCAGACGCGCGGGGCCCTGCTGTTGGACTTCAAGAATTGGGAATACCGAGGGCAGAACCTTGTCGACAAAATGGTTCAGAAGTGGCCGGTCGTGAGCGTCCAAGGGAATCATTGTCTGGAGTTCCGCTGACACTGGCTTCTGTTGATAGGGTAAACCTGTAGGACTTAGGATAGTGTACGGTTGCGTGTAGCCCAAAGTGTTCTGAGACCACTCTAGCCCGGCGGAAGCTGGGGTCAGTGGCGATGTGACCTGAAATTGTGGTTGAGGAGCCATAGAATTCAAGGTTGCCAATGAAGTACCATAAGGTAGGGGTACATTGCTGAGTGCAGTGTCGTGATCAGTTCGAATATCGACATTGAACGGGGTCACTGGTGTTAAAAGAGGTGCCACGAATGGGTTGTAATTGTACTGATTGGCAAAAACAGGACGGTTGAAGTCATATTCCTCCGCTGTAGCAGAAGGTTTCTGGGCCAATTCGCGAATGCGTTCCATATATTCTAATGGCGCATGTCATGTTGGCGTGTCCTAGAGGCTTAAATTGGCTGTGCGAGGCTTACCTTGCAGTGATCCATGCTTCTCCATTACCTTCGTCTGCCGAATTCGATCTTTGATTCTCTCCTTCTGCATCCTCCGCGTCTCGGCACTGACCCACCATTGGGGTGGTTTATAGTCGCATTTCAACCCCAGCTTCGTGCATGCTGTGCAAGCTGGACGCTCTTCATCACACTTCTTCCGTCGTAGTCGACAGGTATAGCAGCCTGTAACCCAGTCATTAGCCCCATTTCGACAAATGGTACGCGGAGACAGAATGAGATGGCCGATCTCAACCCATCATCTTCTCTCGAACAGGAGTACTCTATACCTGAGCGTGACCTCTTGAATGACTTGGCATTGGAGTCATCCACCGCCTGCGAGGAGTCAGGTATACCCAGGGTGAGTCCATTACCGGAAGCGGAAACAAGCATGGTTGAAGGAACATAGGAGGACGACATCATGTTCGACATGTCTTGATCTCTGACAGGACGGTAGGTTGCATCAAAGAAGTAGCGACGATGGTAGACAATTGATCAATGACTGTATCCTCCGTGACCTAGAAGCAGTTGCACAGCTGCACAGGTAACCTTTGCTGTTAGAGATGAAGCAAAGATGTCACGAAGAACGAAAGGTGAGGATGGTGCGACATGTCTGAGGCTTTTATGAAGATCGTCCACATTGATTACTTTGGATAAGAAGATAGACGATGCATCTGCAGACAAGGAACTTGTTCTGATGCTTCTATTTTTTGCCATCCCAAGCGGTTGTGCACATGGGATCTTGTTTCAAAAAAAGATGAAGCACGATGCAAACCTCGAGTGGAGACTTGGAGTTAAGCGGCAAATCAGTGTCGACATGGCGATCGTGAATAGACCAGAAGTATCTAAATTGGGAGACTTCGGTGCTTGATGGAATCATGGTGGAATGGCACAAGTGGTCCTTGATACTCTCGAGTCGCCGAAGAAAGGTAGGCGAGTATGTCATTTAGACGCGCACCACTGCTGATGGCTGCAGGGATCCCCCCGTCGACGAATGAGCGACCACCGAAGCGTGCCTGTCAGGGTCTAGTGAGGTACTAGTCCACAAGGCCTAAGGAACGCACCAGTTCCTCCCCTTGGCACGAACGCAGTCCCCACGAGATCTGATAGGTAGTTTTGCAGCATTTCGTCTGTCGCATGATACAGTAGTACATAGCTTAATTTCTCTGTGCAATCGATCCCCATGGTTTCATGATCTTCTACCGACTTCAGGTTTGTACTTCGATTGGGAGGCCGTCGGATTCAGTACTGCACCCCCAGCCTTCATGCTCGGTAGACTTTGTCCCTCCAACAGCTCCTAGACTCTTCTCCCTAGATACAAGCTGCATCAGGAAGACCCTATCGCCAGTGCGAGCGGCAGTATCAGGCGAGCAATTGGATCTCTTTCAAGAAGCGTCGTTATGATCAGGATCCAATTGCCATCGGACATGCATGGTTAGAGAGCGTTTCATGTCGTAATTGGTTCACGAGATTCAGAAAGCGGCAGATGAGACACGCCAAGCGGAATTCTCAAGATATGATTCGGCAGAGGGACCCAACTACTGCACAGTTGAAACTGTTTGGTAATGGTCTCGAACTCGAAATGGCGCAGTTTGCGGGAAACTTAGCGACCAACTGTGGAGCTCGTGCCGGGTATGGGGAGAAAGCACGGACTGTTTGTGATCTTCTCTGCCTTAGCTTCGAGTTCCCTTAATTAGCAACACTACCCCCCCAATAATTCTTCCTCAATTAGATGAATTATGTTGGTTTTTGTTGGACTGGGATGATAACGATTGGATTACCGCATAGTATCTGAGTTAATTATAGTAAATTGAGCTTGCTTTGTTGTTATTGCTATTAATATCATGCAGCAATAGCCCTGTAAGTTGTCATAATTAGCAACATATTCCCAACAAACTTACCTTATGCATGCATATTGAAGCCATTATCTCTGAATGGCTTCCTCTACATTGCAAATTTCCAATCTGGGACTTTACCGTTATTGATATTTTTACTCAGTATCATGAGGGAATTTTGTTAGGTGTCTTTAGGATGGAAAACTATTGCGGGTATTCCTCGCCTCAGCGTCTACTGAGAGAAGCTGTTTCAGATGTTCATGCGAACAAGAATAAAGATTCAATCTTTTTTCTTATGAGGCTGCTACACTACCAATGAGAGTGGCAAGCTCACCTTTCATGGCAGTGATAGCACTATTCGTAGTACCTCTTGTTGAGGGGAGGTACTTCAGTCACTACATGGAATCGGTCACCATTGTCGCTAATTGCTTAAGCCTGGAGCTACCACCATAAATTCATGAGCTAAGGTTCTGCTTCCACATTCACCATTGTGGGCGTTTCATCCCAGGCTGATAGAGTATAATTTGCGTTCTGCTGCACCTTGCACAAAAGCTCTACATGGACGAGGAAGCATATTTTGCAGACAGATAAGCCATAGTAACGAAAGGCTTTTTAATGAGATCTGATAACTCCTTTAAGGGATATGATTGAGAGACTACAGAAGTTACCTCAGCGGTGAGTGATAGTGCGGACCTCAAAAAACCCGGAAGATACCAAACTATACTGTTACGATAAGTAATTGGCCCAAGACACAATCGTCCTAGTATGACTGCTCGAGGCAAACAATGAGAACTCGGTGCTACCCTCATGTAGAAGAGAAGGTCAGAATTACTCAATGGCGATGATTAGACGCTCACATGTAGAAGATAAACCGTTCAAGTCCATTATGTAACAGGACTTGAATAACGAATAGTACCGTGGAATTTTCTGTCCATTCTGTCCTCGTCCTAGGCAAAGCCGACGGTTTATCACCAGGCTTTCCGGCAGCTTAACTGGTTTCTCCACATTCTCGAAGGCTCGTCTGACTCGAACCAGAGTGGCTTGGCAGACTAAAGAAAGTGCCTAAGGTAGGCAGTGGGCACATTTGTCTGCATAATCACCTGACTGACATTAACGTGATTATGCTGGGTGATGAGACTCGTAGCGTGTGATAGCCCCGTTCTGGTCCCATTCTCGACCTACGCTACGTGGATGTCGAAGTGAACGAAACTACAACTGGCCACTGGCTGCAGGTCATCGATTCTCGGAAATTTAGCACAGAAAACGGCCCGAACAGAGCGGATAGTCCAGAAAAGCTCAAGATTAACTATGACAGCTCCAAGAAGCACTTCAAAGGAATAGGATGGGACAGGGGACTTTGCCTTGGTTTTTGATCAAGCCGGAGCAGACTGCGATCCCTTTCGGACAACTCCATACAACTCATGAGTCGTGGCCTCCCTGTTCCTTGTGGACTGTCACAACTGTCAGGTTTGCATTAGTACGATGTGGATAAGACCTGTTTGATACTATGCAGAAGCGGCACACCGTCTAGAATTCTCCCCTGCGGACTGCCGAGCAACCATCAGGACAACTATGCCAAACCCTCTCAAGTTTAAGCGGAAAATGTGAGGATCTGTCCTTGGAGAATTGACTATGTCAATTGAACCTCAACTTTGCGCTCATCAGGAATGAATGCTGATTATATACCAGACAAGCTGGCGGCTCGCCAACAACGGAAGCGCCAGTCTCTCCCTGAAGAAGGAATCCCTCTCGCTTTCCCATCGCTTCCTGAGCAGAGTATTGGATACTCAATTATCCCGCTAGTCAATGGTGAAACTTGCAACTACATAGGGTGGTGCGTTGCGCTCGACGCATCTCAGCCTGTCAAACTGTGCTGAGAGACTCGTCACAGCAGTAGCGCCGTCAACCGACCTCTCACAGCTCGCGGACACCCGCCCACCCCCTCAACCCATTCCTGCACGCGGTTCTCGACTCACTCCAGCAACACTCGCTCTGCTCTTCCATTCGAGCCCTATTGCTGCAGCTCTGTCTTTTGACTCGGAATCAGGACGCTTTGGTCGAGACATGATCGCCAACCACCGTTCTCGTCACAGCGACGCTTCACCCTGGGCTTGCCGCTGGCTTAGTTTCCCGCCGATTTCTGTCCAGTCAGCTCCCCTAATTCGCGCAATCTCGTCAAGGGTGCATCCTTTCTGTACATCAGTGCTCTGAGAGCCTATAGGTCCCTTCCCTGGAAAATATTGCGTTTTTGAAGAGGGGCCATGTACATAAACTCTTCGATCACCCGATCTGACCATTTCCCACCAACCTTTTGCCTCCTGTACCTATATACCTGTTGCATGTACACAATCCAGCCTTATTAATAAAACTCAACTTGAGTACTTTTCTCCGTCATTTGCAACCCATCGCTGTTCTCGTACTTACAAGCTCTCTGCCCTCTGGGAGGGCCTTGCAGAGAAATGGTAAGCTATTGCAGCTCACTCTAATGTCATATACTTCCTTCGCTGACAATACCGATAGGCAACCCAGTTAGCGTATGATGAATACCTTGCGGGGTTTCAGAAGGGCGAGCAATTGCCATTCTTCACTCCTAGGACTGCTATTCCACGACCACTCTCTGAAGCGACAGACATTCTTGACTCCGAAAATGATGACGAGCTCTCGTTACCAGAAGATTCACCATTTACGAGTGTGGCTTCTGTAAGTTCAGGTGCAAGCTGCCTTTGAAACTTCTGAATTGTTGCTAATAAGATTTCTCTAGTTCGGTACGGGAAGTGTCTCTACAGCTTCCACGCCGAATGAAGCCACTACTCCTGATTCGACCGGGCTGACTGCTTTCGACTTCCACATCGACGAGAAATCCATCAAGGGACCTTCCGGACCTCATCTGTTCAGGTCATCCTTGGACTCTTTGGACTACAATGAGTGCACAGATGGCGAGGTGAGGTTGCAAGAGCGGCCACCTAGCGCAATGCTATCCTACTACCAGTCGGCATCGAAACTCGATCCTGTGAGGAGGGACACCCCGGTTCCCAATCGGATCTCGTCGACCCCACAGCCGCAAGTCCAGCAGCAGTGCAATTCATTTCCCAGGCAGGAACTGGCTCTAGATGAAGTTCACGCGCGGAACTGGACGCCACGAGATGTGGTCAGATGGCTGCAATGCAATGGCTTCGACGATAGCATCATGGAAACATTCTATGTCAACGACATCTCTGGCTCGATTCTTTTGGAGCTTCAAGCGCAGGATCTGAAAGAATTGGGAATCCAGTCCTTTGGCAAGCGCCATAGGCTCATGGGCTCTATCCAATGCCTTCAAAGCAACCCAAAGTCCATCGATCTCAGCGTCCGTCCTCGTCAGAATTCTGCACCAACTACTGATGTTCCTCCAACTCCCGTGACGGCGGTTACGTTGAACAGCTCGGACTATCACTCGGCTTCCACCACTGATCAGGAGATGTCGGACAAGAGATCGAACCAGAACCGGCGGCGTCGTCATCAGAAGGATGGCGAACCATGCAAAGTTAGTGACATTGGACCAGGAGACTCGATCTCAATTGTGGCTATCGAACAAGTCTTGCCAAAGCTGCACAGTTGCTCCAAGGGCCAGAATTGCCGCAAGTGGCAGAAACAACAGGCGAAGCTCGCTCATCTTGCCAAAGATCTGCCACTTGGCTCCATGAACGGCCGGCTCATTCTTGCGGGTGACCCGGGCAATCCCAAGACGGCGCCCAATCTTGTCAAGTCTCCCAAGTCAGATATCACCCCGTCCCTTGTTGCATCGTCTGATGTGATGGGGCCTGTCCAGGCACCGGAACTCCGCTTGTCTCAGGAGAAGCTCAGTGAGGTGCAGCCCAGAGATCCTCAAGAGAATGTGCGAAACTTTCTCAGCTTTCAGAATCTAAGTCAACTCCGGTCGGTCAATGACCCTGCCACTCCACCCAGGGAAACGCTTCCGTCGCCAGAGTCAGAGTCGCCTCGGTCGGTCAAGGGGAATCCCACACTGAGCGAGAATCTCCGCCATCTTCCAAAATTGATGATTCCTAGGACGCAGGACGACTCCGACAGTGGTGTTTTGTCTCCCAGCTTTTCCGGACAGCGGACGGTCACTCCGTCGACGGAGCGGAAAAAGCCTTACTTTGACCAAGATTGTCCAACTGCTATTCCTCGTGATCACCAGCCGTATGCATATGGCACCACATTTTCGCCGGGAGACTTCTACCGCTCCGACCCCCATTACGGCCAGGGCACTCCTTTCTCTGAGGTAGATGTTCCTATCACCGCGATCCCGATAGGGCCAGTTCCTCGCGAGGATTCTCAGTCCGTACCTCCAAACATGCGATTCGGTGCGGATCGGCAGATCATGGCTGAACCGATCTGCCGACCAGCGTCCACCAAAGGCGAAAATCGCCATCGCAGGAACACGTCCATCCAGAATGTTACAAAGCTTGCACCCCTTGACGAACGCTATGCATTCAATCCAATCGAGACGCCTGAAGACATGGAAAAGACCCCGCGCGCTGCGCATTGCAGAAACAACCCGTACTCCCCCACTACAAGGCGATCACCAAGCGACATCACCCACAGTGGGTGGATGAGAAAGCGCAAGACCACGCGACTTCTGCGACACGAATGGGAAGAGCACCATTTCACTCTCCAGGGCACTCAGCTTGCCATGCATGAGGATGAACTCTCCGCTCGTCGCAACTCCAAAGCTCTTGAATACATTGATGTCGATGATTATGCTGTTGCCTGCTCATCGCTGGCCTCTAGCTCTAAACTGACAGCCGCCTTCAAGAAGACTGTTCTCAAACGCAGAAACACGCCGCCGGATGAATCTGCCTTCTCTTTCTCCCTGATCCCGGCGCCTCCCCATGGCAATGGCACTGTGGATAAGAAGACTTTGTTCTTGAACAGTGGAAAGTCACACCATTTTGCTGTGAAGACCAGAGATGAGCGGATTGACTGGATGCGTGAACTTATGCTTGCAAAAGCTCTCAAACGAGGTCGTGAGAGCGGGGCTACTATGAACGTCAATGGCAACGTCATCTAGGTGCCCTTGGTCATATGAAGCCAAGCCCCTCACTTGTCTACTTTCTTTGACTGATTTGTGATCGTTTGTCCTTCTCACGATACCCACTCTTGATTTGATTTTCTTCCCTAATGCTGAGCTTTTCTACTTCTTGTTTTCTCACTTAACGACATGCCATGATGTCACGAATTTCCTTTTGTTCTGATTGTTCTGACCAGCTGAGAAGCATTCATGCTGGCATTACTTGGCTAATGGACTTTGCCCTTGTACTTCTCTTCTTATCTTTCTCTCTTAAGAGTTACAGTCATCGACATTGCACCAAGATTAGATTGTGAACTATATCCGGCGAAAGAGCTGGCTCACGCCGTCTTCGCATTTTCCAAGAAAGCTTTTGTCTTGTCTTGCTGGATGTTTTGAAGATCTCATGTATCTAAGCTTTTACTCGGGAAGTTGGCTTCCCGAACCTCAAATGAAAATTGCCAAATGGGAAAGACCATACGAACCGGGATGTTCTCGAAATCTTCTCTGGACCAGATCGAGCGTGTATTCTGGGAGTCTGATCAGTAAATCGCTGCTTCGTGGCTGCTTTTCAAATGTAAGGTAGTATTTCTAGAATTGAAAGCAAGCCATTGGTTACCGACTGTAAACCACCCCTTGGGGCACTCTGCATGTAGCCAGTAAACGTTGGCTATGTGGCAGTTGAGCGAGACGCACAGGGGATGTTTTCTTAGATCCAGCGCTTAGAGCGACACAGAGAGTGGTGTGCTGACTGGCTTTGGTCTTTGGAGAAATGAGGCACAGGCGGCATTACTATGGTCAACAGACTCCAACCTCCCACCTGCCACCCACGGCGCGTAGTGTCAACAAATCTCATTCGTGGTCTGTTGCTGATGGCACTCAGGTACGGTTGTTCCAAAGCGTTGATAATGCTGATTAGCTTGTCCCCAGGTCCTTGACCAACACATAGCATGAGCCAACTCACCTGAGAACGCTTGGTTTAGGTCATCCGTTCTCCTCGGTGGCCCATTATGCAGGTATTGCCCCATTCACGACGGCTTGAACAAGCCATACGAGCTAATTTCCAAGCATACGCCGGTAGATCAACACAAATCCGCGTGTCAGTCTGTCGTCCGACCCCGTTTACGTTTCACAATCACGACGTCGCTGTGGGCGCATCCGCCGAAAATCCCTGTGCTTTGTTGCTGGATTAGGCGATAGCCAACTCGACCCCGGACGAAACTGCGGTAACTGAACTTTCTTTCTTCCAGGGTTATGTCAGCCTTTAATCTCCTCCTATTCTGAATGTAATCCATTTTTTCGTTCTCTTGTAAGGCTTGCGGATGCAGTTGTTGTTGTGAGCTCTCCTGCCTCTTTTCGTCCCCCGCTCCCCGTACCTCTCTCCCCACGATGGTCGACACCCCCGCGATCCGCAAACGTCTCGCGCAGGCTTCTCAGTCTACACGAGCAGCTCGGCGCTCGTTACTCGGTGGACGGGAGCCGCAGGACTATCAGCAAAAGGCAGTATTATTGCTAAGCGAGATACTAGACCTCCTTTACGAAATCCGAGAGCAGTTGAGCTGGGCAGAGGAGAAATGGGCCGTGGCACAGGAGCGTCTGGACAGTTTGGATGACCTTCTTAATTACTTCACGTCGACTATCCGGGCTCTGGAGTATTATTTTCAGCCTGGTGGTGTGAGCAGCCGTCATTACAGAAAGTCCCTTTTGGAGCGATCATTTCTCCCACGACTGGAGCAGTTCAAGGTTTTGATCCTTGTGGTGTTGCAGGCTGAGTCTATGTATTTGTCCCCTTGACGTTCCCCTGTTTGGCTTGATGACTGCATCTTCAAATTCTAACTGAAACCAGAGAGAAGGCTTTCACTGAGCGAGAATTGCGAAACACTATCCGCAGATATGGTGCCTTGGAAACCGGTAAGTATCCTAACCAGAAGTTGACTTGGCAATATACCTGGCATTCATTGGTTATAGTGGAATCAAAGGCAGTTTCTGAGTATGATGGCGACTTCTACAATATTACAGGGCCAATCTCTTCGAAGAATTTCATGAGCCTTGCCGAATTGTGCAACAAGCGACAGCAGGGAACTTGTCAGTGGATCTTTCAAGAAGAGAAATACAAAACCTGGCTATTCGGTGCTCAGAGGAGCCTATACTGCCGAGGACCACGTAAGTGATCTTCCATCTATATCGCGGAGCGAAATGTGCTAATTCATTGCAGCTGGCGCTGGGAAGACCTTTCTTGCGTGAGTGCAATTCTTAAGCTGAACGCTGGTAGACACTCTGGGCTAAATATATTGCAGTGCTTCCATCACCGACAGTTTACAGCGAACATTCACAACCCCAGACGTCGCAGTCGTCTTTCTCTTTTGTCAAGTTGAGAATGGGGATGAGGAGTCTTCTTCGATTTCCTTGCTTGCAAATATTCTTGCCCAGCTTGTGTATCGGAAACGCTCCGCCTCCTATTGTACAGCCTCCCTATACCAGTCCGAAGAGTTCGCCAAAGGTAGAGCTTCAGCAAAGGCCTATCAAAATGCCATTCGTGCTGAGGTTGATCATTTCTCCAAAATATTCGTCATTGTCGATGGACTGGACACTTCTCCTGAGAAGGATCGCATCCTGAACAGACTTCAGAAGCTCCCAGAGCATACGCAGCTTCTGATCACCCTACGCGAAACAAGCTATGCGCAAAAGGATGATTCTATACTCGCTATGGCACATAGCAAAGACTTGGAAACTTACATTTCAACAAGACTGAACCAAGATGCGGGTCTTGTGTCTCTTCTGAAACAATACTCAACACAGGAGGAGCTCAAGCAGGCCATCGTCGGGCAGGTGGTTGAGAAATCTCACGGGCTGTAAGTCTGATCCGACCTTCGGACAGCACCCCCCTAGGAAGTCGTCAATGCTTACCGTATATTCTATCAGATTCCTTCTGGCACGATTGCACATGGATTTGCTGTCTAGATGCAACGATGCACCCTTGCTACAAAGGGCCCTCCTTCATCTCCCCGACAGCCTGTACGACGCTTATGCTGAGTCAATGAAGCAACTTGCGAGTCATAATTTATATGCTAGTCGCTGCATCTTCTGGACCTTATATGCTTGCCGACCGCTCACCGTCGCGGAATTGAAGACAGCGGTCTTTTTCGAGCCCCAAAACGGCGTCGCTCAAAAAGAGCCTTCATCTTTCGAACATATTTTGCTTGTCCAGACCGCCGGACTTCTTGAGGTTGACCCAATGACCGGCACTGTTCATCTTATCCATCAAACCGCCAAAGAGTATCTGACAGGAGCCGTTGCCAGGGTGTTCTTCCCCACCGCGCGCAAGCACCTCGCAGAGACCTGCCTCACGGTTATTATGCCGGATGAAGTGGTTGATGACTGTTACATGAACCAGGGAACAACACCTCGAAACTCGAAAGGGAGCCTCCTCAGCTACGCCGCTACCTATTGGGGATATCATGCTCATGAAGCTTCCGAAGAGGAGCAGACAGCCCAGGTACTCATTGGAGCGTTCTTAAACAAACTGTGTTGGAGACGGCCGCCTGTACTTCAGGACTACGTCAGCGAAACAATGGATATACCACAACAGCTTGGCTTGGGAAAGTACTTCGCCGACTGGACCGCTCTCCATGTACTTGCTTTCTTCGGGATAACGGGCAAAGCAAAAAGGTTGATAGAGAAAGGAGCCGATGTCAACGCTCGAGATAATCAGCTGGGCATCACTCCGCTTCATTGCGCAGCCCACCGCGGAAATGAAGAGATGGTGGAGCTGTTGCTTGACCATAAAGCGGAGATTAATGCGATCTGCAAAAATGGCAACACTGCAATGCATTACGCAGCCGAGCAAGGAAAGCGGAAAGTCATGAAGATATTGCAAGCACGACGAGCCAGCTCGAGAGTAGCTAATCGGCAGGGCCTGACAGCTTTGCACTCCGCTATTGGGACTGCATATGACGAGGCCACAGTGCCGCTCCTTATCAAAACTAGGTCAGACATGGATTATCCGAATGTCATCACCGGAGACACGGCTCTGCACATTGCCATCGAGTTGAAGAGACAGCGAATAGTCCTTTTCTTGCTCGAAAAGGGCGCAAACACAAATGTCCTCAATAAGAAAGGCTTGACTCCTCTTCAGCTAGCCGCTAAGACAGACAATTGTGAAGCATTATCAGTACTCCTGGAGCGCGGTGCAAAGGTCGAGGTGCGTTCTATGCTTGGTTCGAGAGCGTTACACCTTGCAGCGTCGGAGGGCAATTGGATCGCGTTCGACATCTTACTCATTGGCGGCGCAGATGTCAATGCATGGAGCGACAGTGGAGAATCCTTGCTCCATGAGCAGTCAAGGAAAGCTTCAAATATTGCCATAGCTACTCACCTTCTAGAGCATGGTGCGAATCTCGAGACCCGCACATCCCAAGGCTATACACCGCTTCAGTGCGCGGCGATGAGTGGCAACAAGGCCATGTTCTTCTTCCTGCTAGCCCGCGGCGCCAAAGTCGGCGTCGAAACCCCGAAAGGGGAGACTTTACTCCACATCGCCTCACCCTCAAACCAGGACTCTCTAGACATTCTCAAGTCGCTTCTGGAGTTAGGGCTTGATGTCAAAGCGACTTGCAGCAATGGCTGGACACCTCTCCATCAGACTGTCTTCATGGCAACAGGAGCCCCTGATATAGAGTTCGACAAGATGTCCGAATACATCAAGCTTCTGCTGTCCTATGGCGCCGATATCAATGCCGCTGCCTTATCGGCTACAGGCGAGACTCCCTTGCACCTTGCGACCATTGCCCCGATGCCGAGGCCGTCCCTGGTATCGCTCCTTGTCAAGCTTGGCGCATCTGTCAATTCCATAACGCATGAAGGGAAAACTCCCTTACATCTGGCCGCTGCACAAGGCTGCGAATCCATGTTTCGAGCTTTGCTGGACGCCAGTGCCGACACAAAAATCAAGATACCCACCAGTGCTGTCGAGAACGAGGACGATGGCGGCAGACAAACACCACTGGACATAGCTCATAAGCATCCAATCAGCGCATTGTGGTTCGATGCCATGGGTAATCTGCAGGCTTCCCCAGAGGACCACCAACGAGGTAGTCTTGCGACCACGATAGAAACCGGATCTGACTCGGAGACAGATGATGATATGAGAGGTTCGACCTTGGTCGGAGAAGAGGAATCGCATTGGGGATCCACCCTCTCGTCGCAGATTATACCTTCCACCCTCTCATCTCAAGTTATCTCTATCACTGAGTGACGGGGTACAAACAAATATCTTTCCTTTCTCTTCGCCGTCAACGAAGAGGGCAATCTTTGCTTTTTCACTGTCATGTTATTCAGCCAGGAGTTAGGGGCGTTAGATACATACATGCAATTTAGCGGTTTTGATTCGATTCAGACTACCACAGTATTATCAACCGTAGACACCCATTGTGTTCTAGAGCCCCACAGCGTTGCAGGTAATCAGAGGCGATCGTAGAATGCTGTTTGTATTCTTTAATACTCTAAGTACCAATGTAATTCGACCCACATAACGAATTGCACCTATAGCTCAGTGGTAGAGCGTTCCACTCGTATGGTGTACGACCTATGGAAAGGTCCGCGGTTCGATCCCGCGTCGGTGCATTTTTTTGTTTACTTTTGTATCATTCAGAATGACTACCTACTATTTTTGCTCTAATTTTTGAAGGAAGATTTATCTCCGTCTTCTGATAGTATGTCAATAAAGATGTGGTGTTTGATCAATATGCGAGATCTATCATTATTAGAGACGCAATCTTAGCTAGAGTAACCAGGTCGGAATAGTAAACGCATGATCATCCCATCATTCTAATAACGATATACGCCCATCCATCCCCATACGCGCAACTCCTTACTAGCTCCTCGATCGGCGCTGACATTGGCACCGCGGCGCCGTGTAGAACCGGCTTCGCCAGGACAGGAGTTCTCCGACTAGGAAAGAGGTTGGGGAGTAGCGAGTGCAACGCCGAGCCTAACGTCTGGACTTGCGAGGCGGGGCTATTTCGTATATTGGTTGACTGACTTGTGTTCGTTGTGACTGGTACACTAGGCGGTAGCGGGGACTGGACGACCTTGAGAGACGGGGAGCCGGAGTCTGGGGATAGGGGGAGGAAAAAGCGGAGTGGGACGTTGCGGAATGGTTGATTCAGTGGGGGCAGGAGGATGTTCGAGATGCGTTGAAAGGAAGGGAGATCCACTACTTATCGTCAATATACTGAAGTGCAGCTCGGACTGTGATAAAAGCTGTGAATACCATCTTGCACGGCCTGCCATAATCCGGCCGAGTCCTCTTTGGAGAGAGTCATGATTCCCTTGGCGGTGCCGTTGCGGAGAAAATCCGCCTCCTTGACGCTGTTGATGAACGCGTCGTGCATGACCATGCCGTCGGCGTCGAGTCGTACGAGCTCTTCATCGGGCCAGTCGCTGAAATGCACTGTCAGCCGCCAGGGGAGCGTATCGCTCAGGCTGCTGGTGGGATGGTCTGTTTCATCGATCCTTGTTCCCTTGGATGCTGGGTCTGCGCCCGCGTAAAGGTCATACAGCAACCCGACGGGGAGGTGCCATTTCAGCGGGACTCCTTCGAAAGAGAACCAGCCCTCATGCGGTTGCGAGTTGGGTTCAATCAGTGATGGTGAGAAGAAGGCTCTTAACCTGGGTAATAATGATGGGAGATAAGAGATTCGCGGACAAGCGATCTAATTAAATATCAGCTTCGTACACATGATGTGTTTCGGTGCTTGTCGAGAAGGGATCGTTACGAGATAGGGATCAGTCTGATCATATGTTCGACTCTCCGATGAAGCAAGCGTTATCTGTAACGGAAGCTTTCCATCCCATACAGCTCTCTGGATGCTGCTAAGAGAGGCTTGACTTTCCATGCTTGGGAAAGGAACTTGCTGTCTGTCCTACGACAGGTCAGCATGAAGCCTGATACATTTGAGAGCGCGCGGATGGTACCTAGTTTATAACGCCTCCGCTTTATCGAAGACAGTCTAGATCGATTCGGTCTACATATACTTCTAGCATTCAGAGACGAAAGCACAACCCCGCAGCAAGAACAGAACCATTATTGACAGCGGTCGATGAGCTTGCAGTTTCATAGCATCGTCATTTAATCGAGAGACTGTCCCAAAATAAAGATAAACTTGAAGAGTCGAGGTCTAGCAGACACGATATGACTGCAGATAATGATGGAGATGATGTTGTTTGGCAGATAGTGAGGGATTACCTGAACGGGTATATCACGTGGTTGGTGCCTCAGGCATTACAATTGTTACTCATACGGCCAAGAGAGGGCATTGTCTTGTTTCCGTTCAAAGTGTCTCAATCTTGATCTTCTTAAATACCTGCATCACCGTGTGACGGTTCTCAGGGCGTGCATTGACCTGGCGTTTTGTTTGGCGTCATTTTCTTGCAGAGCCGTTGTTTTCGGATCTCAAAACATTTCGTGTGAGCAACGTAACTCTAGCAGACGCGGAGTGGCTATAGGGTGATCTTGACTAGTATTTAGTCAAATATATATATCCGCGGCTGACGGATTCACTGCCATCCTAACTACATCACATCATCCTGATACAAGCCACCATGGCATCCTCACAAGATGCATTGGCATATCATGAGCCAGGGATCCAAACTATTCTGATGCAGTCTAGCTTTCTGCTTGTCCTCAACTGGGTGAACGCTCTACTTGATAAGCTGATCTACTGCGGGCTCATTGGGCAACTTCTCATTGGGATGGCATGGGGAGTCCCCGGAGCCAACTGGCTAGGACTGGACGTTCAGAAAACCGTTCAGCAGCTCGGTTATCTCGGGTTGCTTCTTTTGGTGTACGAGGGTAAGTCAAATGCAGAAGGATCGGCTGATGCCGTTATTTTGACGAGATTGTTTCAACAGGTGGCCTTTCAACATCGTTCTCTCAATTGAAATCAAACTTCATTCTGTCCTCCATGGTGGCGATCACCGGGATAGGTGTGCCTATGGCTTTATCCTTTGTCCTGATGAGCCTGCTATCAGCGACTCCTCTCCAGGCATTTGCCGCCGGTGCATCCCTCTGCTCAACGAGTATCGGAACAACATTCACCATCCTGTCCACGACGGGATTGGCAAAGACCCGGTTGGGTGTTGTCCTCGGCAGCGCAGCGATGATGGACGATGTCGCGGGCTTGGTGATGGTCCAAATCATCTCGAACCTGGGTGGTGCGAATCGGAAATCGTCCTTCGACCCGGTGGTCGTGATCAGACCCATCCTTGTTGCCTTTGGATTTGCTTTGGGGCTTCTTCTCATTTGTCGGTTTGTCGTTGCGGTGATCGTGCGCAAACTTCAGGCGCACGAGATTCGGGTCCCTGGTTGGATGAGGTCACTGAATGTCGCATTTGTTGTCTACATGCTCTATCTCATTGGATTGGTCACCGGCGCACAGTACGCAGGCACGTCGGGACTCTTCGCTGCATATCTGGCTGGGGCTAGTATTTCCTGGCTTGACGAGACGTTGGCCACTCGTGAAAAGCAGCCAATGACCGAAATCCCAGCCAATGACCAGCGTGGACATCAGCCGGAGAGCATTGAAATGCAGTCTCGTCTGACTTGTGACGCAAATCATACACAAAGAAGCCACAGAGAAGCCGAGGCCACCGCTCATACGGAACGGACTATGCATTTCAAGCGACCAACTGGAGAACTTACGTTTGAAACTTTCTGCAAAGAGCCCCTCAAACGGATTCTGAGCCCACTCTTTTTTGTAGGTTGCCACAGATATCTACTGCTATCTTCTCAGAATTCCACTCTGACTCGCCCTCCAGGCTTCGATAGGTTTCTCCATTCCAATCACGAAAATGTTCGAAGGGAGGGTAGTCTGGCGAGGCGTAGTTTACACTCTTCTCATGACTTTTGGCAAGCTAGTGACCGGATTCTGGCTGATTCGGTTGACCTTACCCGGGTCAAAGCCGTTGAACAAGGCGAAGAGGGTTCTACTCGGGGTTGCCACTGTGAGCGCGGTCAAGTCATGCAAGACCCGATCTCAGCCAGACAGTGACTCCTCACGTGCCTCAGCGCAAAGACAGACACCACAGACACCACAGACACCACAGACACCAAAGAGCGATGGACCAAAGAGAGAAGAAAGCCAATCATCTGAATCAAACCCGCGCCAGCAGGACCCTCAACTCCAGGCGGCAATAGCAGTAGCTGATTCGCCACAAGAAGGGCTTTGTCCTCCTGTGGCACAAATCAGCAGCTCACAGCTTCCTCCCAAGCCTCGCTCGTTGTATCCGGCGTCGATTTTGGGTTTGGCTATGGTGGCGCGAGGCGAGATTGGCTACCTCATCGCATCGCTGGCCGAGGCGGATGGGATCTTCTCCCCTCATTCGTCCTCATCTCCCACACCCAGCAGCCAAGAGGTAGACTCTGAGACCTATCTGGTGGTCATCTGGGCAATCACCCTCTGCACTTTCATTGGGCCCCTTTCTGTCGGGCTTCTAGTGAAGAGGGTGAAAACCCTCCAGAGACTTCGAACCCGTTCTGCCGGCGAAGACCCTCTAGGCGCGTGGGGCGTCTCTTGAGGACATGGCGTAGTGCCCTGTGCAAGTAGACTCAATGGGGGCAAGGCCACAAAAAGCAAAAAGAAAGCGAGAAAATGACGCACTCCGCTAGCAACCCTTCGAGAGATAGAGAATGGTCATTTCGGCCCTACGATTTGCGGCCATTGGGACCCGACTTCAGCAAATCTCAGACTACTCAGATGGGCGCCCTTTTTACTAGCGTACCATTCCTCCCGCCTATCCTGAAAAGGCAAGGAGTAACAGGATACGAGCTGAAAAGGAAGGTTCCGAAATGGCATCAGGGAAGATAAGTTCACTCGGTCAATCTCCTTTGTGTAACAACAAGGTCATTGTCTTGTCTGCTCCATCTTCGAAATAGCGTATGGGACAAGTCCACACGACTAAAGACGCTTAGGATGAGTCCATGCCATCGGTTTCATTTAACATGACTCGCTAGTCGATACTCGATATGCAAGTATTGGCCGTATTGAGCGACGCGGATCCTTACCGGGATTAGCAGCGACCGAAGCATGCCACAGCCGTTAGCTAATTGTGGGGTCGACGCCTTGAAAGGTTGGAGCTGCAAGCTTGGTCGGCTTGCCTGAGGACTGTAGATAGTCCGTAGAGTTAGACTCTGTAGTTCGTACTCAGGGGTTCATCCGGTGTTGTCGATCTTGGTTCATGTTCAAACAGCTTGTTTCACCTTTTCTGGGTGAAGTTGCTGTTGAAGATGGTTGTGGTGCAAGGGGCTTAATCAAAACGAGTTGCGCCGGCAACGAGAAGGGAAAAGCAATTATTTGAGATAGTTTCAGAGCGAAGTGATGAAACACCCAAAAATGGACCAATCTGAGCAAGATCTGCGTGTCTAGGCGTGGAGTTCGCCAATTCCTCCTGTTTTTAGTCTTGACTGGGTAGTATCACCCTGCGAATTACGATAACGGCCTTTGCCTTCATTTGATGTCCGAAAGATGACCTGTCATGCTTTTCAGCAAGGGAGAATGGACAATTCTCCCTTGCAACCATGTGCTCTGCAGTCTGCCGTCAGCACAGGCCTCCGATGAGGCTTGGTCTGAACTAGTCGACTGCTTTGAGAGTTGAGGCTTGGCTCTGTCTCATGCCATCCACGGCGAGGATGGGGAATGATAGAATCCTACCCGTAAAACGGTGGAACTCCTTGTCGTCAGTGCACTTCACAGGCCCCACTATTGAATAGCCTTTTGAGCCTGCGTATATGCACCGAGCTTGACGTAGAAACTTGTTAAAAATAAGTCGGATTTCTGGCCTTGGCTTGCGCAAAGGCAGCGATCTGCCGAGAAGGTTCCTGCAGCATTGTACTGGGCAGCCAGCGGCCTTGAGGAGAGTAATATCACTCTAGCCCGTCTTTATTTGATTCAAGCTACGGTATATTGTATACATATCGCATGATGAGCAACTGTGAATTGCTCTCAAGTCGCAAAATCCCATGGGTTGGACTGGGACGCAATATGGAGCACGGAGTAGTCGCTCGTAATTGTCGTCAATTTTTGCCCAATTCGTGAATGTACCGCTCCTTGGCATGCTGGTCAAGACCTCAAAGTCACTGCAAATCTCGCGGTACTGGTGAAGTTAACTCCGGGTCCAGCCAGGTTGGAAAGCTGCCCGGATTGAATCATGATTGTAGCCATAAAGCACCCAACACCACGGATTTCGCCTCATAGGCTTGTCTGCCAACCCCTGACAACGCCGAAACCTTTTGCTCAAAGCCTCGAAACTCCGCGTAAGAGTAAGACTGGACGCACCCGACACTCTGGTAACAACCGGTGCCAAGAGTGAGTGTAGTTCACGGCCATCGCCAATCAAGGCGTCCTGACTCCTGAGGTGCGAGGCATTCGCATTTCCCAACGCTGACAACGGCTAAAATTGAGATTGACACCGTGAAATCTCAGCTGTCTCTTAAGTCCTTTAGACCTGTCGTAAAGGACTTTTTTTCGTCCCCGATCTTGAACGATCCAGCCCCTAATCAGTAGAAAGTCACGGGGCGTAATTGAATAATTGCTTTTTCCCCCCTTCTGCCCATCGTCCGTTTCCACATGTCATGCGCATCCCCTCCCTCAGCGATGACGCTCCTGGCAGGATTATCCAATGAGCGAGGCTTCGCGTTCTATTTTTCAATTTTTTTTCCTGGACCCAAATCATATTACTCTCAGTCTGAAATTCAAGGAGCATAGCTGAACTCTATTTTGGGTGTCCGTATGTCTGGAGTACGACGACCCAAGCATGTGGATGGTTGACACACACCCGCAGCAGATTCGCCAATGATTTCCAAGGTAGAGCCCAAATCCATGCCAGGACTAGGTAGGTATGAGGAACCATAAGGTAATTGTCCAGCACATGGCATCTTGTTAGAGAAGGCCCGTCAGGAATGTAAATCGGCCGATGACTGCACAGGGAATTTGACACTCGCAGCCGTTAGAACAGCACGAGAAGAAGCACAGGCTGCATGCTAACCTGCATATGCACATAGCTTAACACGCAAATGATGCACTTCTTGCATCGCTCCGTGAATCGTCACCTCAGGAACGTTGATAAAGGGGGCTGTTCGCTGATCGCCACTCCAAGAGGAAATGAGGAAGCAAGGGGGTGACGGAGGAAAAAGAAAACATACAGCCACAAAGGCATGGGAGTTGCTCAGATGGGATGATGAACGGCAGGTTGTGCCAGTCAAAATCCTGCTTCAGATTTCACTTGGGACTGTGCGTTGATCGTCCATACCAGCAACCACGTTTGTCCACGCGAACCACGCCTGTCTGAAGCTCAAACCGATCGTTCCCGCAACGGCTCGCCCTCGATCTCGACTCCCTATCCAAGCCTGCCAGTAATGCCACTAGTTTGGGATGTGCTGCACAGATTATGACAGGGTGCATGACTGCAATGGCAGCTGAATTGCTGCCAAGAAAGTTGCATGCCATCGGCCATGCTACTGGTCTAAGGTCTAGACTTGTGACAGAAGATCTGGTGTTTCAGCCTACTTTTCGTCCAATCATGAACACTGTCCACCTCCAACGTCCGAGGAAAAATGGTTGGCGTCAAAAAAGAAAGAACCTGTAACATCCAGTAGCTTACCAGGGGGACGGGCCCATAGGGCACTGCTCGGCCAATCTCCCCGACGTACGCCACGCCCGCTTATCAGAATCCCCCTCCAGGAAGTCGATCCAGTGGTAAATGAACTCCTGTTCGAGAGACACGAACTAGACCATTCGTTGATGAGATCCAACTCCACTCCGAGGCCATCCCTTGGCCCAAGCCCAGCCGGTACCTACGGCTGGTGGACGGCTCTTGGTGATCAAGACATATGATGATGATCCTTCGTGGACCCTGCGTCGAGACGAGAATAGGTTGTCCAGTAGCCACGGGATACATCCGCTTCGCTCTTGACCTCACGACTGTTGGGCCGATTGCTGATCCACAGCCGTTCTCGGCAGCCCATGCGGCAGAACAGACCGGTGAATGTCACTAAGCCCATGTCGATGTCATCGTCCATGCTGTCTCTCAGGCTGAAGATCTCGATCATTCCGGTTTCAACCTCGCTGCCATTCCTTGTTCTAGCCCCGTTCAATCTTATCCTTGTCATTTACTAGTACCCTCGAGACTGTAAAGCGGGTCAGCTATTTTTGTATTCCATCATCAAAATTCCCTGACTGTTCCATCTGCTCCGGTGATCATCCTTGGGTATTTAGAGGAGGGACATGCCTGTCTTGCTGTTACTCACCATTTTTGAGAACCAATAAGCATAAAAGCAGAACAAAAAGCGACTTCACCGACTGTCATTGCAGCGGCCATCGCACAATCCACATCTTGAAATACACCATATCTCGAGTGTATATCGTCAGCCTGTCTTACTGCCACACTTCGGCAACTTGATAGATTATCTCGCCTCACTCCCTTGTCCGAAACAACTTCAACTTCCCAGCACTTCTACTAGAAGGCGAACAGAAACCTCATATTGACAATGCCTTCTGCAACAAAGTCCACAAAGTAAGCCCCATTTCATGTGCACACATATTCGCCACAGAGGGCTCACCTGTGTCTTCATTTCAGGATGACCAACGGCGAGAGCAGCGGTCTCAGTGCCGGGAAGTTGAGCCATATTCCAGAAGCGAGCAACGGTGTTGTCGACCGATTCTCACAGTCAGCTTTTGCTGATGAGCCTTACTTCGCTCGTGCACGCATGCAAGATCGGTCAGCTCACGTATCACGTTTGAGCAGTCAACTTGACGCAACCGAAGAAATATTGCGGAAATGAAGGTGGAAGTTTCATGGGTATACCTCTTTATTCCAGAATTGGGGGGTGGCCGGACAAGGAAGAAAAATTCATCCAGAAAATCGACAGAATGATGTTCTATATACAAAGTCTATGATTGTCTTATTAGCGTACATTTCATCAAGCCTGGGCCCCGAGCTCAAAGGTGTTGTTTCTTTTCTTTTCCTTTCCCTGATTTTTTGTCGTCGACAAAATTCAATAGATTTCTTTCAATGCAAGAGCTCCACTATCCGTTGTGCTACCTTGTCGTACAGTGTGCTGGGAAACTCATGGCCTGCGTTGTAGTACTCAAAATCAACATTTCCCTGGAGGGCCAACGTGGCATCGGGCACAAGCTCATCTTTCACGATAATGGTATCATGGATGCCGCACATGATGAGGACTTTGTCACTTGGAAGACCGTTTGTCGGTTGCTCTTCCTTTGGAAGTTCCTTCTGTGTTGCCAGGTGCTTGCCAAGGCGCGTCCAGGTGTCCCACTGTCGCTGCTGCAGGATCGGGCCAAAGCGCATACTAGACATAAAGGCATGAACAAATCCGGCATGGTTGTTCACCTGCCAAGAAACGGCATTGAGAACCGAGACTTGTGGATAGGCCCGAGACAATACCTGCATATTGCCCGCGGTTTGTGAGGGAAGCTCCTCGGTGAGGGCATCTGCAGCGTTCAGTTTTTCATTCTTTGGCTTTGGGGTAGTCAAGGGCCCAGCGCGGAGGCGGCGACCAA